CCGGTGGGTTTGTTCAGAAGCCCACAGAGACTTCACGAGGCAGACGGAGTAGCCCTAGGACAGCATGAGGTCTTAGCTGAGTTCTCCATCACTCTCTCCGCTCTTCCTCTCCGTGATCCAGAACACATTTCAGATAAAAATGAATGGTACAGAGCGAGATTTTACCTTGAATTCCCCTTGACTATGATTTTTTTTTTAAATGGATTTGGGGATGCGGACTTGTTTTGTTCCATCCCATGAAGCGTGGAATCAGTAACACTTCCTACTGGGGATAAGGGTGGGGTAAAGTATAGGCTGCTTCCTGCTGTCTCCATCTGTGCTCCTGGTGTTTACTGTGCATCTCTACTAGGCGAGGAGAGTTGCGGTTTGGCTGGTGCTATCTCGGTGCAGTTACCTTCTTTCCATGATGTCACTTTGCTTTCCCTACCAATTATCAAATCATTTGTATCAACCCTCTGTGTGTGCCTGATGGCGCTTATCACCAGTATCAGACCTCAGAGCAGTGCTTGGCCCCCGGGGGAAGGGCTATACAAACACAGTGATGGGGAAAGTGGCATGGAGACCCACAGGGGTAACATATGCTTCAGACCCTGCTATTTTCTCAACTCTCCTGTTGTGATAAAATCCAGGCCCTGGCCAGGCATTAATATGTATTTTTATTTGCAGTGGCATTATATACAAACTCCTATTGAAATCTGTCATGCTTTATTAATAAAAATGAAAACAAAACTCAGGTCTGCATGCAGTCAGCCTAAGTTTTAAGATAGGTAAAAGTAAAGTCATTAAACTGGTGGGTTTGGTGTGCAATCCCTGGCATCAGATGGTGAAACAGATGGTTTGTAAGCAGATAAGCAAAGAAAACAGCATGAGTTTACTAAGAGCAAGCCATGCTCAACTAGCCTTGTTCCCATTTATGAGAGGGTTGACACTGATAGCAAGGAGAGATTCCATAAAATCAGTGTATCTTGATTTCAGTAAGGTTAAAGTGTTTTCTTGAGGACAAGATGGAGAAAAGTCACCCGAATGGTAATGTAGTAGATTTATTGCTAGTTCAACAAGTGGCTAATGGGCATATGGCAACCTCAAGGGAGGTATATAGTGGCATGTCACAGGACTTTTAATTGTTCTGCAATTTTATCAGTAAGTTAAATAAAATTTGTACATACCTTTACACAACATTTTAGAGATACTCAATACAGTGAATATCAAAATCAAGATTTTTTTTTAAGAAGGAAAATAAAGCCAACTGAAATAACACCCCAAACTAATAAATAATTTTGGGGGCATCTGAGTGGCTCAGTTGGTTAAGCGACTACCTTTGGCTCAGGTTATGATCCCAGGGTCATGGGATCGAGTCCCGCATGGGGCTTCCTGCTCAATGGAGAGCCTGCTTCTCCTTCTCCCTCTGCCTCTCTCCCCTGCTTGTGCTCTCCTGCTCTCTCTCTGTCAAAGAAATAAATAAAATCTTTTAAAAAAGAGAAAAATATCAAACTAATAAATGATTTTTAATAAAGGCAGTGTAAAGTCCTAAGTCTGTGTCTTAAAAAATGCCCAAGTATATGATGGAGGAGAATGGTTTTCTTGTTAGTTCATGAAAAGAAGACATGGATATTTTAGTCAATTTCAAATGTCACGTGAGTCGACCGTATAAAATGGTTGCTGAATAATAGAATGGTATCCATAGCAGGTGGAAATGCCTATCACACTCTACTTTCTAAGGGTCACACTGCTCAGTGGTACTGTTTCTAAAACCATGTATCTGGTTTTAGGAAAGACATAAACATAAAAAAGTTGATGAGAATCTGTAGACCCTATCGTGGGAAGGAGAGGGGAAAGCCCTAACATGTCCTGAATGTCTACTCTGAGCATAAGAGAGGAGAAAAGGCTAGAAGCGAAAAGGAGGATGGAATAAGAATTGGTCAGTTTCCTAGGGGTTTAAAGAATAAGTAAATGTGTAGGAAATAGCCCCAGAGCACACATTATCTAGAACAGGGAGAGTCAAGTAGGGCATTCTATATAGCTGTTGCTTTCTTGCCATGAATTAAGCTCAGGGGCGTGTGTGCCTCTGTGTCCATGCGTGGGCACGTGCGTGTGTGTGTGAGTCAGTGTGCGTGTGCGTGAGTGTATGTGTGTGTGAGTGTGTTTGTACATATGTCTAGGTACACAGGTAACTAGGAGGTGATCAGAGTGTATTATCTTAGTCAGTATGGCCTGCTATCACAGAACACCACAGCCTGGGTGGCTTCTAAGCAACAGAAATGTATATCACACAGTCCTGGAGGCTAGAAGTTTGTGATCAGGGTGCCAGTGTGGTTGGATTCTGGTGAAAGCCCTCTTCTGACTTGCAGACCGCTGTTTTCTTGTGTTCTCAAACAGCAGAAGGAAAGCGAGAGAGCTGTCCCGTGTCTCTTGGTAAGGATACGAATTCTGTTCAAGAGGGCTCCACCCTCATGACCTGATTAACCTCCCAAAGACCCCACCTCCTAATGCCACCATATTAAGGGTTAGGATTTCAGCATATGAATTCTGAGGGGACACAGACATTTAGTCTGTAACAGGATACATTTCTGCCCCTGCCCTGCTTTCACAGTGGCTTCCTCCGGGAGAATCCTATTTGTCTTCAGCCACATTTGTTGGTCATTCTGTATTCACTCTTGCACTTACTTAGTGCCAGGCCTTGTGGTAGAAATTGGACACACAAGGTGGACTAAATCCAGTTTGCACACACAACAAGCATAGTGTCGAGGCGGCAAATGGGCATTGTGCCTGCAAGCAGGCCCACTGAGAGCCTGAGCAGTGCCCCGAAGAGTCTAGTCTAGAGACACTCTCTTCTCAGTGAAGTGTCTAAGTGTCAGCTCTGCAGACTTCAGAGCTGGAGGGAATTTTGGACATCTGCTCAGTGCCTGGTTTTCAAATAGCTCCTTGTGGCCTCCTGGGGCTTTTACAAATATTTCTTAGGGGTTGCTGTGTGCGAGAGGGAAGACCAAATCACAAGATGTCTGGGGGTCCTCCCTCACACTTCAAGCAGAGCTGCTTTGCTTCTCTCTGTTTTATTGTTCATCATCTATATCCGAATTAAGTTGAGAAGGGGTACTGCTACTGGTAAATGTTTAACCACGTTCCACACCCATGCAGGAATGTAGTGAATGGTAGCCAAAAGGTATTGTGGTTTGCTTGATGTGATGAAAGAAATGTTTTTGTTTGTGTGCTCATAAAGACTATGAAATCTCTTCATTCAGTGATTTGCTGAAATACCAAATAAGCAAAGATCCTGTATGTTTCTAAAAATCATCCTAAGCTTTTCCCTCAGACAGTTAGCTTTCTCAGAAGGCTTCAGACTCCCTGAGGGCAAGAACTTTGCTCTAGTCATTTTTATTTCTCAAGTGAGTAATGCAGTGCCTGACACATATGGGCATTTCAAATGTCTAATGGCTCTATGAAGAAGGAATTAAAATAATGTATTAATTGGACCTGGAACAGATCTTCTGACTGATTATGGAAAACAAAATAAAATTCTGAAACCTCATTCAATTCTCAGTAACCTGATATGCTGGATATACACATATTCATTATTCTGCATTAGCAGTCACTATAGCAATCAAATTAGATATTGATTGGTGTCAGAGAAGAGCTGAACATTTGGCTCTGAAGCGGTGTCATTTCTTCCATCTGTGAACACCCAGTCTCCTGTCTCTTCTTAGTGAATCCTGGAATCTAAATCATGAATAATGACAGAATTCTGCCAAATGTATTTCTCAGAGGAGGGCTATGTAACTTCTTTCCTTGTGATGCACTGACTCACTGAACAGCTACCCTTGTGGATTCCAGTTAGCAGTAGTTCTTACTCTTTCTGGTCAGACTTATAGGCAAATCTAAAATCTTCAGGATTCCTGTAGTCAGTTCTGAGTGTGGGCTGGAAGCGCTCAGACACCCCTGGAGGCACTCCGTAACCAACTGATCCATGAATGTCTGGCTTGGGTTTGGCCAGGCTGAAACCTGCACATCGTGGTTCTCCTCAGAGAAGGTGCCTTTTGGGTGTGAGATAAAAAAACAACATAACTAGATAGTGTATAGAGAGGGTGCTTTTTCGAGTTTTACCAAAGTTGTTAACCTATAAACCTGCTTCTGATACACACACACACACACACACACACACACACACAGAGCCACTGACATATTCATGGAAAGAGTCTTTAGTCAAGAATGGAAGCCAAGATTTCATGTATAGATCAAGAAAGGGAGGGGTGGTGTTCTTAGAAGGGAGTTGACAGGCTATAGCTGTAAGTTATGCCAAGAAAGCCAAGAAAGGCCCTGAAAAGCTATGGGAGTAGTTAAGGATTCTGCTTTTGATTAGCAATACATAAGTCTTAAATTTTATACTTTTTTGGGCTGCCCCCCTTATCTAGAATAAGTGGAATATCTTACAAATTGTTCCTCAGACTCTTATTTGTACATTCTGAGACCATGACTTTATAGGAGGGTATAATTTTCCTCATTCTGAGCAACTGAATTCTATAACTAAGGACACTGAGACAAACTTTTTGTCAGATGTAGATTGGGCAGATTGTGTCTTCTCCCATGAATGTGAAATGGCATAGGAAGCAGAGACCCTCTTTTAGCTAGGGGATTTATCAATGGTACCTGTTTTCCTCAAAACAAATCCCCAATCTCGAAGATGGCTCCATTTTGGGGGTAGGGGTTGGGTAAAATGGGTGAAGGAGGGAGGAAGATACAGGCCTCCAGTTATGGAATGAGTAAGTCATGGGAATAAAAAGAAGAACATCAGGAATAGTAAGTGATATTCTAATAGTGATGTAATGGGACAGATCGTAGCTATAGCTGTGGTGAACATAGCATACTATATAAACTTGTCAAATCACTAAGTTGTACACCTGAAACTAATGTAACATTGTATGTCAACTTAACCAAAAAAAAAAAAGATGGCTCCATTTTTTCAGGGAAGTTCATTCTTCCTCTGAACTTGCTTTTCAAAAGCTGGAGTACTCACTTTGGCAGCACATATACTAATAACGTTGGAATGATAAAGAGAATATTAGCATGGCCTCTGTGCAAGGATGATATGCAAATTAATGAAGCGTTCCATGTTTGAGACACCTGGGTGGCTCAGTTGGTTAAGCGTCCAACTCTTGATTTCGGCTCAGGTCATGATCTCAGGGTTGTGGGATCGAGCCCCTAGCCAGGCTCCAAGCTCGGTGAGGATTCTGCTTGAGATTCTCTGTCTCCCTCTCCTTCTTCCCCTCCCCCTGCTGATGCTCTCACTTTCTCTCTCTAAAATAAATAAATAAATCTTTAAGAAAAAGCTGGAACCATATTTTATTCTTTTACCCACATTCAGTACATACAGAGCACCTACTATGTGCCAAGTTCTGCACATTTATTAGTTAATTAGCCACCGTCCTTATCTTCAGGAGTGTACTGGGAAAATGGACAGCTGTTTCTAGTATGTATTGCTGCCTAAAAAGCCAACAAAACCTAACACTGGAAACAAAACCAATAATTAATTTTTCTCACAAATCTCTAATTTTGGCAGAGTTCAGAGCACCAGCTTATCTCTGTTCCATGTCTTCTGGGGAAGCTCAAAGGATGAGGGCTGGGATCACCTGAAGGCTTGCTCACTAACCTCCCTGGAGGTTGATGCTGACACCTTAGCTGGGGCTGTGGTCACAACACCTAAGTGTGGCCTATCTGTGTAGTCTTTCCAGTTCTTCCCTACATGATGATGTTAACTTTAGCTTTTAAATTCTGTACCTCTAAGTGCAGAATGTTTTTGCCTTCAACTTGCTTTGAGTTTTGAGATGTTGGTTAAGTTATGGGAAGCCCACTTATTTACCAATACTGGGGTCTGCACACGAGTTTCATAATTTTGATGTGTATTCAAGGTACTGTTGGTATGTGTAGAGCATGTAACAGATGCAGTTGATGCCCTGCTCCTATCCCCTTTACCTACCCATGCTCACTGGCGGCAGTGCTAGATACTTTCCAGAGCATGGACAGCTTCCCACCCCTGCACCTGCTTCTCTTTTTCTCTGCCTAGGGACTTTCTTGGCACTCACCTGAGGAGCTTGCAGAGCCTCAGACGGGTTCAGCCCAGAAGTGCAGGGACATCAGCACCCCTGGGGCAGGGGGCCATTCCCAACCAACAAGAGATGGAAATCAATGAGTAAATGCTGCAGCCTTCCCAGTAGAATGATTCAGAGCAGGGCTGACTGTGTTTTGCATGACTTGACTTGGCCGACCTTGAGGGCGAGTGCCTCCTTAAATTTTGCACCCTCTTCTCCCCCTCTCTTGTCCCGACTATGATTCTGAGGCAAGTTCCTCACAGTTTCTGAGAGGGTTTCCAGCAGGACTGAGCCCCAGTAGTAGCTCGTAGTTAATGGCTTACTTATGCACATACCCTTTACTGATGTATCTCCTCCTGTTCTTGTCTCACTTTCTTGTCCCTACTTTCTCACGGGGGAATGCTGGGCTTGCCTTTCGAATACAGTACCAGTACCCATTTCCTTCTCAGCTTCTACTCCTGCGGGTACGTAAACTTAAGGCAGGCATTGCTTAGGAATGATGTTTTCTCCCCCACCCAGCCGTAATTTATTTAAGCACATGATCAGCTTATGATATGATTCCAGTAATGGTAAAGGTTTATCTTCTTTGAGACAGAGCTAGAACTCAGATGCTTCTGGTGCTCAAGGTTAGGCAATCACTTTCTTCCAAAGGCCTCTTTGTACGAGTCCAAACACATATGCGTGGGCACTTTTTGTTTTTTGGGTGATTGAGGAAGGAGGTGCCAGATGTTACTCCTGTGTGCTTTTTGTTGTTGTTTTTTGGTGTGTGTGTGTGTGTGTGTGTGTTGGTGGAGAGGCACTGGGGAGGTGTGAGGGGAGATAAAGACCATACAAAGCTAGGAAGGCAAAAATTGTCTGGATAGTTGCCTCAAACTCTTCCCTTACTTTCCCTCATGGCTGAAGGCCTGGTTGTGAGCCTCTGTGGGAATAGTGACAGAGCAAGTAACAGAGTCTGTATTTCGTGAGAGACTGGGAGGCTTGGGGTACACACACTCCTGCTTTGGGACCAAAGTGGCCAAAGGCCGCACATAGTGAGCCTCACATGCCCCGCCCCCACCTGTCCCTCCTCTGCTCCTGCCCTGGCTTGGCTCGCAGAGTGCTGCTTCTGCCCCAGAGACCCATCTGCAGAGATGTGCAGAACTTGGTGGAGAATCAGGAAAGACCCAAGGGAGGGCATAGCAGCTGAACTAACAGAGTTTCTATCTTCCATAGGGGGCTCATGGGCTGCAGACTGTCCCTGAGCAGACCAAGCAAAAGATCCCAGGTAGGGAAACTTTGCGGAGGGGGATACATTCCTGAATGGGCAGGTAGAGGCACAGAGCTGACCAAGTTTGGGGGACTTTGCTCGTGTGACAAACTTTGTACTCACTGGCTGGCGAAACCTGGGCTCTTCAGCTATGTGATTTTTGTTATGAGCTTGCTGGCATCCACATGATTTCATCAACCTGTGGGACAAAAAGCTTGGGAGTCAATTACCCCGCACTCTAGCTCTGTCACTAACGATAACGTGGGGCAAGTCACCTGATTTCTCTGTGCCTCAGTCTCCTTCATCGTATAAGGACCTCACTGGCAAGATGAAAGCTGGAGGTCCTTTTTATAAAGTATTTTTTATTTTTATTATTTTTTTAAAGATTTTATCTATTCATTCATTTGCGAGAGAGAGAGAGAGTGAGCAGGAGAGAGAGGAAGAGAGAATCTGAATCAGACTCTTGCGCTGAGTGTAGAGCCCGAGGTGGGACTCCATCCCACCACCCTGAGATCATGACCTGAGTCAGAAGCCTAACTGACCAAGCCACCCAGGCACCCGGAGGTTCTTTTTAATATTAAGATAACCAGACTTCTTTCTCCCGAAGGTGTTGTTGGACACATGGAGACCTAGAGAATGTCCCATCATGTGGCTCCTGCCTTGGAGTTCGGAAGTGGCCCGTGGGTCTAGGATCCTCTTTCTCCTACAGAGCTCATGGACAAAATGCTAGGTTATGGGCAGACCCTGTGGCACTGAAGAAGACCGTCAGTCGCAGCTTTTGCTTTGCCACTTTGAGGCTTTATCTGCAGTGTTTGAGAGATAACTCCTAAATTGATGTCTTACTGTCCTTGAGCCACCATGCCTTTGTTGAGTTCATCATAGATCATAAATGTGAGGGTGAAACGGTTTGCCAAACTGGCAACTAACCGCACCCACTTGTGGTTGGTTTGGAACGAACCTTAAAGTGCTTCTTGCAGCTGTCTGCTTGTTCTCTGCCTGGCCTCTGATTTCTCTCCCATGCTTTCTAACTCACACCTTTGTATTATTTTTACTCCCCACAGAGTTGGCAGATTGCTGTTTCAGAAAGTTAAATGGAATGCCTCCTGTGGAGGTGTGATCTCATGGTATCCCTGCTTTCAAAAGTGGAAAGCTCATCTTCCCAGCGTCGTCATCTGGGAGCCGTAGGCCGAGCCTTCTCCAAGTTAGTGGCCTTCGCTGGTCTAGGCTGTGCTCTCAGTGGCACAGCTGAACTGGCTGTGAACTGTTCATCCATTTCTGATGAGCAGCCAGGCTGGTCAGTGGGCACACAAGACCAGTCTGACAATAGGAAAATGCTGCTCTGCTTCAGAAGTAATTTTTAAGGAAGGGTATTATCCCAAGCGGGCCCGGCAAGACTGTTGAAAGAAAACACAAGTCACATGTGATCTAATCAGAGAGTCAGTGGGAAAACACATGATGAAAGAAAGAAACTTTTAAAAGCATATTATTAATATCTGAATATGCTCAAACGACCTAATAACAATTATACCTAATATTTTTTGAATACCGACTATTTATCAGCTATGTTCCAAGTGCTTCTACGTATACTCACTAATCCTTACCGCAACCCTGCAGGGCAGGTGCTATTATCCTTACTTTATAAACGAGAAAACCTAGGCACAGAGATGGTAAATAACTTGGCCAAGGTCACTCAGCTACTGAAGGGTCAAGTCTGGGATTTGAAACCAGACCATTTGGTTTCAGAGTGTCCACACTTAGTCACTCTACTGCTTCAAGAGCAAGGCTGTGTCTGTTCACACGGCAAATGAAGAAAGGAAGGTCATTAACTAGAAGCATAGTTCAGGCCAAATTAGAAGTAGAGGGGACCCCTTAAACTTAGTGCAGTATGTCAACTCTATCTCAATAAAACCCAAAGGGGAAAAAAATTGGAGGGGCCACAGTGAATCCAATCCCTCTGGCACGGCTTCTCAGGCCTTCCTGAGCCACCTTGGCTAGCCTTTCTACTGCGAAAGGTGCCTCCCCATGCTGGGCTCCAGCCACAATAGGTAACTTTGTCTACACCCACCTTGATTTGCTTGACTCCCTGTGCTTTTATATACCTTTACATACCCTTCCTGGAAAGTTCTTCCATCTAAGTTTGGAGAAATCCTCAGCTCTTTGGACTCGGCTCAAATGTCAACTCCTCCTTGAAACTTTCTCAGGCATTTCAGGCTGGGTTATTGCTCATTTCCTCCCCATCTGGCTTATCCCCTTCACCCTAGCTTGTTCCCGGTGATACTGTCATTGCTTTCTCTCTCTCTCCTCACTAAGCTGTGAGCTTCTTCAAAGCATGGTAGCATCTAGCACTCTCTGCGGCACATAGCTGGTGCTCCGTAAGCGTTTACTGAAAAAAATGCCTGAAGCAAGTGTGACCATCATTAGATAATTATGGGCCTTCAGAGAATCTGTCTTCAAGCTAATGTAAAGGACTTTATTTTGGGCTCTAATTATCCTGATAATTTTCTCAAGCCTTTCACTTATTTTGGCTTGTTTGCATAAATTGTTGACACTTCATAAATATTCGACAATTTGATGCTGCGATGTTACTTACATATGAATTAAGCAACCACTCGATGTTGACGACAAAACATATATACAAGTAACACCCTTATTTCAGGGCGAGTCACGAAACCGTCCCTTTTCATTCTACCCGGTAGGCAGGCGTGCAGGTGGAACCTGTAGGGGGAGATGGTGTTTCTATCCTGGACATGACAGGAGGTGAGAATTTTTGACATAACTAATGAG